CAATTTGTTTTTCTTCTAAAATCGCTGCAGGCTGCATTTTTAGTGTTGTCTCTGAATTTGTAAGTGCACTCACAAAAAAATTTCTAGAAAATGTGTATGATGTATGCAATTGCGAATGTCCACAAATCAGAAGGGTCCAGTTAAATCCTTCTTTAGCATTCATTTAGCTTTCTTGAAGTAGTGGTTTTGTTAAGCTGACGGATGAGAGCCTATATGTAGACTTTTCCAGAAAAGAATATTTTTCAAGTGGTTTTGGTAGGTTCCGGTTACAGTGCTGTACACTGTTCATAAACAATTCCGAAGGCAGCAACAGTGAGAGATCATAAAGGTATACTATGAACCTTATAAGGGTAAATTTTAAGTTTGGTTCTCTGCTCTGAAAGTCTCACAACTTTAAGGCAGTTTCTTGATGTTTCTTTTGTGTTTTTTTTTCACCGGAAAACTAGGGAGGTAATTGAGTATAATGTAGGAGCATTCCAAGGGTGAATTTATAGACTGCTCACCTATTATGGTAATATAAACCTAGAAATACTTGATGTAGCTAAGAATTTCATCAAGGGTGAAGCTCTGCTGAGCTGTGGAACCAGCAGTGTTGCCCCACTCCATGGAATACCAGCTCTAGACGCAGCAGTGCAGTCAGGAAAGGCATCTGATAAATGAACAGATCACATGCTGTAGAAATGCAGCTGAAATGTTTTGCTTTGGTTTCCATGTGGTGTTTCCAGCATATAGCAAACTCAGAATGATTATATATTGGTGCCTCTGTGTAGTTATTAATTTTGAAGTCTTGACTTCTACTTTATAGCTTTGATTCAGACAACCCACGGAGTTACTGAATGTTCAGAGAGGGGTGGAAAAAATGTCCGTGGCAATTGGTCGTACTGCAAAGCACCAGAACCATTTCTGAAAGCCAGTTACTCTGAGTTACTATAATTCAAATAAATGCGGAAAATTGCCTTATCTTGGATGATGATGTCATTGGCCCTTAGATGTGAACTTCTGACTTTGTAGAAGAACCACTGGTCTTTATTTTACATTGACAGCAATGAGTGAGTAATACTTTGACAGGAGAACAGTAATTTAGAGGTTGTCCATGGATGGTATTGAAAGTGCTTGATTCTGATATGGGTGTGCTCAGGAAAATGTTTCTTAAAAAAGAAATTGGAAGGAGAAGGGGATCTGTCTCTCACTAAGACAGTGTTTGGTATCTGCTCATCTGTGACCTGAATGCAGTTTTCTTGTACTACAGCATTAATATTTGAGCTTTCAGGAACATAAACTATGTTCATAGTTCTGCTGGTCAGCAGTATTAAATATAAAGTTATGGGAAGGAACTGTTTCAACAGGATGTGGATCTGAGAGGAGGCTGGTGTTGAAAGGTCACGTTCTGGTATGTCTGAGCATGCTGCCCTTGCAGTGTGAGCACTTATGGATATGGCAATAGAAATGGTGAGCACATTTAGGTGTGCCAAAGCATAAAAATCTTCTGCTGATGAGCAGTTTGAAATGGCCATTTGTTAATTTATATGGGAAGGCATGGGAAAAGGTGACTCTCCCTCCCCATCTCTGCTTCAGGGAGGAAGAGGAGAATTCTTAATGCCTTTTTAGTGACCTCAGGGATCTGCTTCCACTCCTTTTTCCTTGTAACATACTCACCCCTGACAAATGAGTGCCTGGACTGTATAAAGCTATCTTAGACTTGTGAGGATTCTAGGAGACACATCTCATTGTTTTGCATTGGCTCAGATATAGTGCCTTTTTTTTCCCTGAATATCTTAAAAATCGTGTAATTCATACCTGAACACAGTGCCAGCCTTTTCCTTTAACAACTCTTTCAGCCATAGTCTCTTTCTGGTCTTGGTCTGGGGAGGGGCTTTGTATATCTGTATATCTTGTGTTCCTGGTTTTTCTTTTGGACTTCAGTTGAATTCCAGAAAATCTTTTCTTCAGTGAATTTTGGAGGAGGAAGGTGAGGAAGAATTATGTATGTAAAACTACAGGTACCCTTTCCATTAAAAAAATAGTATTGTTTTCTGGTCTTTTCTCCCCCCTGTATTCCGCCATTCACCTGTGGTCTTTGCTTTTAATTATTTCTTTTATGTTTTCTTCCATTCTCACCCCAGTTTTCTGTTCAGACTTTTTCAAAATTGTTCTATTATAATAGCTAAAAATGCATGTTTTTTCCAGGGTTTGGGTAGTCATGCCACTATCCAATTGTTTTCTTGAGTCAAATTATTTACTCTGTTACTGTTGTCTTCCTCTTTGAATGTGTTCCAGACCACAGCCCCCTTGAATTTCACACTCATTCCAGTTTCACACAAGTTCTTCTTTCTGACAGTATTATCTGTGAAGACCCAGAGCTCTCTCTCCTTATTTGCTCTGCTACTTGTCACTGCTGAACAATGGTGCTTAAAATATCTTAATCCTCCTGTGGATATAAGGCACTTGCTAGGATTCCCAATTCCTATAGTAGGTGATTTTCCAGTGTTTGACTGTTGCCCCTTTAGTCTGTCTGCTGAACTGTTTGCCTAGATACAGAATCCATTTTGGGATGAGTTTCTGAAAATAAACTGGGATTTCGCAAAGCCGGGCCATTTCTTAGTAAAAGTCACTCCTATCCTGAAGCAACTGACAAATACTTTTATTTTACCAAATAGGGGGAGGTCCCTGCTAACTGCAATGTCAACTCTGTGATGAGCTGTTAAATTGATCTGTTTATGGAATAAAAGAAATGTGAGGACTCCTTAGGTAATTGTACTTCAGCATAAATGTTAAGGGTTGAAGGTGTGCAAGTACAGCATAAATAATAGATATTTGAAATCTTCTATGAAAAGGCAGAATCTTTTCTGTTTCCTTTCCTTGGAAAATAATTTTTCTTCCCCATTTCTTCAGTTCTCTACTGTTTGTATCTGTAACAAGTACTTCAGCTGCAGATAAGTCAGTGCTGAAGTGGGTTTTAGTAGTAGCTTCGGAGTTCATTTTGTTTACAAAGAACTGTGGTTTTGAAGGAAATTAATTAAACCAATGAATTTAGAGTAAACTTTCACTTCAAAAAAGTCTAACTAAAATCTAATGGGCCAGAGTCTTTTCAGACTGATACTCATCAAATTTTTTTAAATTTTCATGTTACAAAATATTGGAAAGAATTGGAAAAAAAAATAAAGCTAAGACGGTGTGTACACTTTGTAAGTACCAGGAAGTGAAGGAATTCTGATTAGCCCAGTGCAGTAGTTTTTCAAAGTTCAGAAAAAAATGGAGCTTCTGACAGAAAATGGGTGGTTTGGTGGTGTGTCAGCAAGGACTGTGATTTGCAGGGGGGAGAGTGCCGCAGCCCGGTGAAAGGAGAGGCAACGACAGCACGAAGGGTTCTTGCTCTGTTGTAGGTGTTTATTAACGCATCCTGCAAACGTCCGTGCCATCAGGCAAGAGTCCTTTTAGCATTTTTCACACATTGCACGCCATTTCCTGTACTCCTCCTGCTTCCTTCGTTTGTCCTCCGCAGGAGAGTACAGGTACTTTTGGTGCCTATACCTCTTGGGGCCCACCTGTGGACACTCTGGGACCTGGACTCTGCACTATGGCAGCTGTGGACTAATTTGAGCCAAAAGACCTGTTGACCTGCAGGTCCTGTAGTGTCATAGGGTGTATCTCTATATCTCTGAAGATCTTGCTGACAGAAGCTCTTACAGTTCTTGTAAATAAAAAATGACATTAAAACTAGAAAAAGACAAATAGAGTGGTTCTGAAGTTCTGTTAGCGGCACCTCATGTGTGACCAATACTTCACATACTGTGCTTAGTTTCCCACTCATGCTAGTATAGAAATGAAATTTCTTCTATGTCAAAATCTTTTTCAAAAATGCATTTCATTCATTTTTTCTAAGTTCTTAATATTTGCTGTCATCACTTTTTCCATATTCTAGCATCCCAATTCAGTAGTTCTGAGTAACCTTTTCTTTCTCTCTTACTGTCTTGGAGGTGGAAATCTGGCATGTAATAAAATAGTCAAAATACCCCAGTCATGCAGAGTTCTTGTAGTGTTCTTCTGAAGGATAGTGTATTCTGAATCTTGTGTCCCTGTTTTCAAGAACTGGTTGAATAACTAATCACCTTTGGAAAATCTGGGTTATCTGGCTGTGTTTCAGAATAGTCTGTGAGTCTGGATAGGGAAATGCAGTCAGTCTGTCTGCTGTCAGCTGCCCTCCTGTCATCTCCTGGCAAGCATCTGCCCTTATCTTGGGCTGGTCACAGCAAGGTTAAACAGACCTTGGAATTCACACTGGAATGCTCTGTTCCCTCTTGAGTGTCCTCGGGTGTGGAGGCTGTGCCCGGGTGGGATTCACACCTTGGAGCCCTGTGTGTGAGGGTCACGGCGCAGGTGGACTGGGTGTGTGGGCCCTGCCATGCCCAGGGCAGGGGGCAGGGGTGGGCTGGGGGACAGGGGCTGCCCTGGGAGATGAGCTGTGGCCGGTGCAGGTGTGTCCGAGTGCTCACAGCTCTCACCTCCTGTGAGGTAAACTCCAGGTAAACAAGAGCCAGCTGACTGACCTGTGCTTGGAGCATTTGAATGACGAAATAGGAGGAGAAAATAAAATCTTTGTGCAGAGACTGACCTTGCAGGCTGAAGTCCTGACATCTCCCTGCGCTTTCAGCACGTGGTAGTGGCCATGAGCCTCAAGAGAAAATGTTCCTTCACAAGAACTTCTTGATTAACTCTGTAAGATTCAGTTTTAACTTCAGTTATATTTGTATCCCTTCAGTGATTTGAAGGAGTTTAAAATGGTCCAACTTCCAGGGGCACTTGCATTTCAATGGAAAAAATAATAATTTTTTTTTTAAAAAGTAGAAGTTGGAATCATACTCACTTTGTTGTTTGTGTACATATTTCCTTCCATTTCCAGAATTATATCTCATACTCAATTTCTTTTGCAGTTCTGTTCAGTGGAGGGACTGTTGTGGATCAGCCATGCTAAAGGGCAAGTAATGGAGGCAAGTATGAGTTTATCCTTTCACAGTTATCTAATGTTGGCTTTACTAGCTTTTCCTTTTAAACTGTTTTGTTTCCCAGTGGTCCCATGAAATAATTGCACAAATGAAGGACTGTATTAGCATGTTCTGGGATGCAATAATGTTGCAACATCTGCTCAGTGTGGCTGCATATGGAATGATGAATTTTGTCCCTGATGTAGTATATTCTCTTACATATAAGAAATTTATGGTTTTGAACTTGATGCTATAAAGTATTCTGATTCCTCCCAAACAGAATATAAAGGTGGTTGTTGGAGGAAAAAAGTTGAAGGAAAAAAAAGAGCACAAAAGTTGAATTCTAATGAAAATGTGTTCTAATTAATTCTACAAATTCACAGTTCTTTACATTTATGATTAGTTTTTCCCCAAAAAGTAGTTACTAGAACAAATAAGTAGTTTTAAGAATCTTCGTACCAGATGTGCAATTTGCAAAGCTCTTTTCAGGCTCAAACAGACTCTTCTTATGGAAATAGGAATAGGAGATGACTACAAAGCTCCCGTTAGCAGCCTCTCAAAGAGTCAGTGCAATTTCAGAAATCTGTCCCAGAATACACAGGGTGGCCATGCCTTGTTCCTGAGCTCACTGTGGGCTGATTTGTTTCAGGTTGGTTTGTAAATTGCCATAGGGTTAATTTAAGCAGGTTAATTTTTTCTAGCAGATAATGCATGGAACTCTAGTTAGACTGAAGGGATGTTGTTTAAGACCAACATCATTATCAATGGTAATCTGGATAGAGAGCATGCAGGAGATCAGAAATCCTACTTATAGAGTATATTGGTCATCTTGGATAAGAACTGCAGTTCTTCAGTGAGTCCTGACTAAAAAATACATGCTGAGCTAATTAGCTAAAATGAGAAAGGCAGTTATGGGTCAACTGTCAGGTTTGTATTTTATATAGCAAATAATTTGGGGATTCTTGCTATTTTAGACAGTTTTGTTCACTAAACCATTTGTTCTGTCAGTTAAAAATTAAAATCTAGTTTTGTGAAGTTTTTTTCCCCAAAGCATAAATTTGTTAAATATGTAAATATGTTCTTTGCACATTTTTTTTCTTCTGCCATGTAATTGCTGTATGAATATGGGTAAATATATTTTTCTTGGACATATACTATTACTTTACATTTAATGTGTTACTGATAAAACTGACCAGCATATTTAGACTCAACGCTTACAGCATCTTCAAAGTACTGAGATAAAATCCTGGATGATTCCAGTGTTTTGTTTTCTGTAAGCACTGAGTTTCATCTTTTCTCCAGCTGATAGCAATGACACTTGAAAAAAGAGAGAGTGAGGCAGCTCTTCTGATATTTTTGGATGGCAGTTTGGAAGGCATTTTGGAATGTCTGTTTAACCCATTGTGTCAGGCTTCAGATGCACAAAATCAAGAGTACTCCAATTGTAAACTCAATGTGTTATGTTTCTGCAGCTGTTTTTGGATAGAAATGAATGCTCTCAAATCCCAAACATATGCTGCATTTCAATTAATTTTTTTAAAGCACAGACTGCTTTCTGCCAAGATTGAGGTAGACCTCTGTGAGCTGGTTTCTATATTTATAGAAGCCTAATCAAAGTTTTCTCCTGCAGAAAACAGGGGTCAGCTTCTGAGCATGTGATCTCATGGTGCTGATGTGAAACTCTTTTGGATACTGTGTCCTTCTTCCTCCCTTTCTTCCCCATTTCTTTGCTGACTTTCTCCCATGGTAGTTGCTGTACAAGTGCTCAGCTGCACTGTCGTATAACCCAGTCTTGCCTTAGTCCAGGGAATGGTGCGAGTTGAGCTCTTGGAAAAAAGCTACATGGTTCATCTGCCAGAGGCTGAACTGCACATGCCTAGTGCTGATCCATTTCACATTGGTTGCTTAATCTACTTTTAAAAAGGCATTCTTGTTTTCTCTGAGAGCTGTGGACAAGACTATGCCAATTAAAAGCATTTCATTTGCCTGTTCTCACCTGAAGGCAGATTTTCACATCTAGTTTCCAGTGCCATCAATGGATGCTGGCAGTAATAAGCCATTTCTTGCTATTTGGAAATTAATAACTCCTTCAGAAATGTTCTGTTTTCTTGCATGTGTTAAATACTGGAAGTTAGGCATTCTACAGGAAAATCAGGTAGGCAAAGCAAATGTTACATTTAAAGCACAAAATATAAAATCTTTGACAAAGTTCAGAAGTAATTCTACCAAAGTAACTAACATGCTCTTCAGAAGTTTAACCTCATGTTCTGTTAGATGTTGTTGTGGGCTTGTTCTTAATAATCAAAAACCCACTGATTTCTCCTTGCTTCTCCCCCTTTTGAACAGCTTTTTTACCTTTCTTGCTTTCCTGTATGCTCTGTGCTGGGCTTCTTCCCCCAGGCAAAGAGTGACTTGTCTCACACAAGCTTTGGCTTCTGCTCACATTAGCCTAAATGCAACTAATGCCACATGGAGGGGTGCTCCGAGAACTGTTTGTTTTGTTAATGGCATGTTTTGCACATTGGATTTTTAACCCACTACTTGCTGCATGGATGGGTAATAACGACTCTTTTGTTTAACATTAGATAAGCATGAGATCACCGAGGCACAGCTGCATGTGTAGTCACTCTTGAAGCAATTGCACACCTAATTGGCTGACAATCTTGGCATTTTCAAAATAAACACAAGCCTTTTAAAGACAGGAGACATATTTATGTATGAATAGTCAAATAAACCTGTCGGGTGTCATCAATGGAGCCCTCTGGCACTGAACAGTTGTGTGATGACCCTGATCCTGGAGGCAAATCCCAAGATCAAGAGACCAAAAAACAACACGAATCAGAGCAAAAATTATCCAAAATAACGCATAATGCTTTGGAGAACATTAATGTCATTGGTCAAGGCTTGAAGCACCTGTTCCAGCATCAGCGCAGGAGGTCGTCCGTTTCTCCACATGATGTGCAGCAAGCTCAGGGTGAGCTGGAGCCTGATCTGGATTTGGAAAGCCAAAGCGTCTGTGCTGAAATTGATGGTGTCTCCACCCACCCCACAGCTCTGAACCGGGTGCTTCAGCAGATCAGAGTGCCACCTAAAATGAAGAGAGGGACGAGCCTGCACAGCAGGTGGGGCAAGGCAGATGCCCCAAAAGGAAGCCCCCAGATCAACAGAAGGTCTGCCCAGGATATTCAGTCAGGTCGGCCCAGATCATCATCCACTACAGATGCTCCCACAAACTTGTCCGTGATGGAGATTGCTTCTTCTATCTATGTAGGTGGAGAGGAGGCCGCAGCAGCAGCAGCAGTAAGTTACTCAGATTTACCTTTGATCTTTATGATCTCCTTGTATGCTTTCTTAAGCCCTTTGAAATCTTGTTTTGAAAAGCAGGTTTCTTTCAGCAGACACTAATGGTACTGTGTTCAAAAGCTTCTACAGTGGTGAAGCAGAGAGCTTAAAAGATGCAAGCATTAGTCATTTTCTCACATGACAGGTGGCTGATTTTTGTATGTATTTGATCAGTTAAACAAGAGCTACTTTTGAAACACATTAGGTTGGTTGGATGGCACACCCCAATCAAACAAGAAGTGATGGGACGAGCAGCAGCCAGAGTAGTGCTCCTTAGCAACTGTTAGCTAGTTCCTGCAAGAAAACCTTTCATTTACCTAGATGGCTTTTTTAATTCCTCTCTCGTTTTCTTGTGTGTTTGATAAAAGCAAAGAATTCCAGTTGGAGTAGATGGTGCTGTTGGTCTCTTAGGCTGTTGGGAGGCTCTGGGAACATGGGCTGCAGCCTATGACTGACGTCCACTTCTGAGTTGCCTGAACATGGTTTAGATCAGCCTGGCTGCTCTGCTGATAAGGGATCACTGTTGTCTCCTTCAGTTTGTCTTGCCTGTGTGGGAAAAGCATTCACTGAAATGACAGTCTCTGTTCTGTGACTTGTCCTTGCAAAGCTGTGTAGATCAGCTTATTGATGATAACAAGAAGTAGCATTTATCTCACTATTTTTCTCTTCACCCAGATCAATTTAGTTGAAACATTCTTGGATTCTGGGGGGGATTTTTTGTTTGTTTTATTGGAGAATAGCTTTCTGATTTAACTTTAGCTATAACCTCTATTTTCCTAAAAATCTTTGGAGGCTTGTTCATTGGAGGACAAGCCCTTTGATAAAGATAGAAAGCATTGTGCAACTGGTGTCTGGTTCGTGTGCTCTTAATTAAAGAGGATTTGACCATGACCCTTGGACCAAGAGAAACAATTCTGGAGAGTTTGATGTTATTGAGATAGCGTGGTCCTGAGGCGTATATAGATTTTTGGTTTTGAAAATTTGGTTTTATATACTACAGTTTTGTGGAGTTTTTTTGTTGGCTAGTTGGTGGATTGGGGCTGAATAAGATCTCAGTCAACTGGAGGTTGCCTTGCCTCTGCAGAGTGATTGTTCCCTTGTATGGCTTTTTTTCTCCCCTCAAAGCCTACTTTGAAATATTCCAAATGAAAATCTGTCCGGATTATTTGGTGATACGTTTTCCACATATTGGTGGGAGTTGTGGTTGGAGGCCATCTTGGGCACAGTGACTACAAAATGATGGAGTTTTCAGTTCTTGATGAAGTAAGGAAGGGGGTCAGCAAAGCCTCTACCTTGGACACCTAGAGGATGGGCTTAGACTTCTTTGGGACACTGCTTTAGAGAGTCCCCTGGGAAACAGTCCTTAATAACAAAAGGGTCCGGGAAGACTGGACACACTTTAGAAAGAAATCTAATACAGAAGTAGACCATCCCTATGTACCAAAATATGAGGCATCAGGGAAGAACGGCCTGGCTGAATAGGGAGCTTTTATGGAAAGGCAGGGGAAAAAAAGAGTGTTTATGACCTTTGGAAGAAGGGGTAGGCAGCTCAGAAGAGTACAAGGGCATCATTAGGTCACATAGAGAAAAAATTAGGTGAAAACTAGAGCTCAGTCTGGCCATTGCTGTGAAAATTAATGAAAAATGTGGCTTTTTATAAATACATCAATAACAAAAGGAGGGCCAAGGAAAATCTCCGTTCTTCATTGGACGCGGGGGGAACATTGTCACCAAAGACGAGGCTGAGGTACTTAATGCCTTCTTTCCCTCAGTCTTTGGTAGTAAGGCTGGTAATCCTTAGGGCCTCCTGAGCTGGTATACAGGGACAGGGAGCAGAATGGACCCCCTGTAACCCCAGAGGAAGTCGTTAGTGACTGGTTGAGCCATTAAAACACTTATAAGTCTATGGGACCACATGGTATTCATCCATGGGTACTGAGGAAGCCAGCAGAAGAGCTCACCAAGCAGTTCTTCTTCATCTTATCATCAGTTCTGGCTCACCAGCTGCCAGATGTGATGCCCATCCGTTAGATCTAGGGAACTATAGGCCTGTCAGCTTGACCTCAGTGCTGGGGAAGATCATGGAACAGATCATCTCGGATGTGATTCTCTCGCACGTACAGGACAGCCAGGGGATCAGACCCAGCCAGCACAGATTTAGGAAAGGTAGGTCCTGTTTGACCAGCCTGGTCCTTCTATGACCAGGTGACCCACCTAGTGGGGGTCACCCCGCTGCAGATCCCTCCTCTGAAGAGGTATCTAGTCACTCTGGATCAATGGACTAAGGCCAATGGTATGAGGTTCAAAAAGGCCAAGTGCCAGGCCCTACCTTTGGGTCACTACAACCCCACACAGTGCTCCAGGCTTTGGGCAGAGTGACTGGAAAGCAGCTCAGTGGCAAAGGCCCTGGGGGCTCTGGTGACCCCAGATGAACATGAACTGGGTATGCCCAGATGGGTAAGAAGGCTGATGGCACGTGGCTTGTATCAAGAATAGTGTGACCAGCAGGATCAGGGCAGTGATTATTCTCTGTGCTGGGCAGTGCTGATGCTGCACCTAGAATCCTGGAGTCAGATTTGGGCCCCTCACTGCAAGAAATTACGGTGCTGTAGCATGTTCAGAGAAGGGACCTGAGCTGGGGAAGGGTATGGAGAGTGGGTCATATGACGAGTGGCTGAGAGAGCTGGGGGGGAGCTCAACCTGGAGAAAAGGAGGCTCAGGGGGGGCCTTTTCACTCTCTCCAACTCCCTGACAGGAAAGGGGGGCCAGGGGGAAGTCGGGCTCTGCTCCCAGGGAACAAGGGACAGGAGGAGAGGGAACATCCTCAAGTTATGCCAGAGGAGGGTCAGGTTGGATATCAGGAGGAATTTCTTCATGGAAGGGGTGGTTAGGCATTGGAAGGGGCTGCCCAGGGAGTGGTGGAGTCCCCATCCTTGGAGGTGTGCAAGGAAGGACTGGACACAGCACTCAGTGCTCTGGGCTGGGGGACAAAGGTGGGGATGGGGCACAGGATGGATTTGATGATCTTCTAAGTCTTTTCCATCCAAAATGATTCTGTGATTCTGTGATTTCCCTGATAGCCATCCAGAAATTAGGATATCTTGCATTCATAGATGGTAATTACAAGTATTAGCATAAATTATAAATTATAATAAATTATAAATTATAAATTATAATAAATATAATAATAAATTTATAATAAATTATAAAATTATAATAAATTATAAATTATAATATCAGTCTAAGGCAGTGAGTAAAGTTTCCTCTTGGGAGAAGCACTGAAGGAGTCTGCCTGGAGCTTTTGCTTCTTGTCAACAGCTAAAAGAACAGAACTAGTACTAAAGTAGTTGTGAAAAACATGTATTCTCCTGGGTTGGTTAACTTAGCAGTTGAGCCATGCCAGTCGAGCCATTGAGAAACCTCAGAAAGAGGCCTCATCGTAGCTTCAGGTTTATTTGCATACGGGCTCTTTCTTCATTGTCAGTAAACTCATGATCTTTGTATCAGGAGAATTTTGGGGAAAGTTATTAGTTTTCTGAGTTTGTACCCGAACCCAGCAACTGAAGTTTATGAAACAGGATCTGATTTGTTGGTTTAAAACTGTAGTTTCCTTTATTTTGTGTATGAGCAGGGAGATTGGACAGGCATAATATGGGAAGTAAATAATATGGGAATATGGGAAAAGACCTGGAGTGAGGTGTCCGTCCTCCCAATGATGCAGATGGTCTGATGAAATGTTACCACCTTTGCTGGATTGGTGATCTCCAAAGTGTGGTGTGGGCAAGACAATCTATTGGAGTGTGGGAAGGAAATACTTTTTGGTTTGTTTTATCTTTCTTTTCCTTTTTAATTTCTATTTCTGTGTATGTTTTATAATGGGCCTACTGTATTAGTTCAGTAGTGGGTGTATATAGTTTATAAATAAACATACATGTATTGGCAGTCTGTGCTCAAAAATTTTGTACTGATTCGGGTGTGCAATCAAAGTTTGGAAACCACTGGGATCACTTGGCAGGAGTGACTGGAAAAATGAGAACTGTTAATCTGACAGTAATTGCATTCTACATTTGTAATTGCATTCTGACAGCAATTGCATACTACAACATCTGCTGCTGTAGCTGCTGTTCCTCTGGAGCAGCGTACTGTACGGAGAAAGGGCTAGGAATGGGCGTCTTGGGCCTCTCCAGGCAGTCACCCCGCTGGGGCTGTGCAGGCTTTCTCCCCTCTGTGTCGGAGAGAGGAGAGAGGGGACTGGAGTCTGAAAGAGGAAAATTAAATGTGAGAGGAAAGGGCACCTTTGGCGACTAAACCACCAGAGACCTCCATAACCCTCTGTGCAGTTCCGTGAATTTCCAGTGCTTTTTAATGTTCACAGCATTTTTGTGGCAGACAGTAAAGATGTATGCTGTGGGTCTAAAGTGACATGGCCAAGGAAATACTGCCATGGAGAATGTGACCTAAAATGAGGGGGAGATGTGAGTCCCAATCCCTGGTACAGAAATCACATCGCACATGCCTGTTGTCTGTAGGAGAGGGAAAGAGTTTGGTGGGAGAGTTGGATTCTTTCTTTTCATGGAAAATTTTGCCAAGTCTGGGTGATGTACCCCATTTTATCTCCCAAGAGCAGATGTATATATAAATAGCACTACCTCACAGTGTGGCACAAGGATTGAAGAAGTTATTCAGTAGCTTAGTGCCACACTCAAAAGGGGGGTATCTCTATCCCCTCCCTCCTCTAAGAGCCAGAAAGACTAAGACCGCTGCAATATTGTTATGCCATCTGCATAATGTTGGGAGCTGTAAAAATCGCATGAACTGCCCTTGACTTGATTTTCACAGGGAACACAAAGTAAAAATTGGAAAATACAAACAATGGGTTTTTTTCCACGGAGAAGGACAGAATGTTGTCTGATATTTCATGAGAAGTACTATGTATTCTGCCATACTAACATAATACC